TCACACAAAGCGGAGGGACCTACAGTTTTACGCCGACTCCGAATGGCGATTGTATTCTTATGAGAAGCTGTTTTTCAGCTTATGAGAAGCGAGTTTTGACGACCGTGACATACGAACACAACACTTTTATATATATAGATACACATAGAAGATGTCCAATGTGTGCTTTTAATGTGCGATTTTAATCTTTGACCACAACAAAAATTCCACATCGTACATTCGTGAATGAACTTTCAGTTTCTCGATTACTTTTTCAATTCCTTTGAGTAATTGAAAAAACTAAAGTACTCTTGCAATTCCAGGTAATGGAATTGAAAAAAAAACAATTACATTTTCAATTCCTTTCAAAGGAATTGGAAAAGAAATTACATTACTAGCACGTAATTTATTCCAATTACAATATGAAATTCCTTGTAATGGAATAAAAAAAAAAACAATTACATTTGAAATTACTTCAAGGAATTGAGAAAGTTATCGATTCCTTTGCTGTGGACTGAAGGAGTTGATTCCTAATTATAATTTCTTGTAATTTGTAATTGGGAGTAATTTAATTCCTAAAGGAATCATTACGAGCCAGCTCTGTTGACTGGGCGTATGAGTAATGCACTGTAGATCATCACTCGAGCTGCTCCTAAAAAGAGTAGATCCAGACTAGTCTCCATGGGCCACCAAATAAATCAAAACTTCCGGCGAGTCTCTTGTGAGTACAATTGACGAATACCTAAGTGATAAATATGTATGTCGGCATTTAAGCAATTAATTTATGTATGCTACGCAGGAAAGGTAGACAGAGTACATTTTTTTATACACAAGTACCTTGGTTATGTAAGGAATGAGGCTATAAACATTTTTTTTTCAATTTTGTCCTTTAATTAAGGGGCTTCCCAGCTAGCCAAATGGGAAGCGCCCCAAATATGGAGTGAAAAAGGATTCATATAGTAACACCTCGAATGAGCGTTTCCGGAGCGCTCCAAATATGGAATAAAAAAAGAGTCAAAGTATTTTTTTGTTATCTTGTTTTTATTTTCTTTGTATCTGGTCTGAAGGTTGAAAATGAAATTTTTAGTCAAGAAGGGGGTCGGAAAAAAGGCTTTTGACGTTATGGCAGTTTCGAATGCACTTGGAGGTAAGCAAAAACGCATAAAAAATCACCTTTTGCAACTTTAGATCTTTTCAGACGAATTTAATAAAAAATTATCTGGTTCTGGCAAAGAATTCAATATAGCGAGTGGTTCCACACTTCACAGGAACGTCTTAAAAATATTTTTTTACTTATTTCATGATTTTTCCTTTTATACCTTCGGATAATTTGAGGAGTCCTTTTCACAAAATCATAGGCGAATAGCGGAGTCCGTAAGGGAGTCTGGGAGGATTATCTGAGGGAAATGTCTAGAACTCCTAAATCACTCATTTAAGAAGTAATAAAGGCACACTATTTTCATATATATGGAGAAGGAACTCCTATGCTCCTTTTCGGAGCCTTCCTAGGAGCGTAAGCGCACCGTACAGGGAGTCCTAATTGTGCACCCTGCGGACTCCGCTTCGGCGTTCTATGAGTCACCTTATTTGCTGAATTTAATTTATATCCTTTACTAATAGATAGCGTTTAATACATATACAACAACACATGTACATTAGGGTGCATCGCTTTCGGTACAAAAGAATATTAGTATTGGTTTTTCATCGGAATTATACCATTTATTATATTCAAAGACTTCTGTCTAAATATTTTCGAAAAGTATTAAGCTTAACGTTAACTGGAAATTAAATAATTTTTAAAAAATATTTTTTCAGAAACTTATGGTGCATTTACATGGTATGAAGCCATATGAACTGTTGATACGTTAAAATAGAGGGACTACATGTTCTTATGAGGAATTCAATGATATCGAGTGGGATGCATATAATAGATTTTTTCATATGAAAAATTATGGGGAGATACTGTAAACATACTGTTGTGATACTGTTAAGCATATGAAATTATAGCAAGTTGGATTTTCATATATCTTCCCATAAAAAGTTTAACAGATGCAGAGATACCAAGGAGTTTTTTTCCCATTTTGACGCCTTTTTTAATATAAAACCCACCGAAAAGGAGGAAAGTGGCAACTCCGCCATTCACATACATGTCAAATGTAGGAATTTTAAAAATTAAAAACAATAAACAAACAATTTCAAAACAATAAAAAATCTTTGTACTAGATCTTTTTCAATAGAAACAATTCACTTATGGTGGACAATGAAAATACAAAGCACTATGATAACAAGACATTACACAACATTTTAATGAGCTTTATATCATATATTATTATTATATTTAAGTAAAGACAAGCCTATATTTTCCAAGCTTGCAAAGAAATGAAAATGTGTATTTTTTGTTGTTTACAAAAATACTTGCCAAATATACATGTAAGTCAAAATTATAGAAGGTATGTATACTTCTCCCTTTAATTTTTTCATACAGTTGATGCTTCTTTCTGGCTTTTACAAAATGCAGGGATACCACACTTATTTCGGTACAATATGATCGTAATGTATTTTCAATTCGAAATTAAAGAAAAAACATCCCACGAAAATGTTTGCCACAAACAAACATTTTGTGGTCTTATGTTTCCTTCAAACCGCATTGCTATTTTTTTCTAACTCTTCCTTTTGTTTAGCGCTGTCGCTTAAGTTATATTATTTAATTTATGCATGTGAGTTATTTTCAATGAGCATATTTTCATTTGCTCCTGAATTTTGGGCACATTTTCTTATAGTACCTCTCATTATTTTTTATATTACATATCGATGGCTGAGTGGAAGATCGACCTATCAGCAATCAGCTGGAAAACGCCCTATCTCAGAAAAATTTTCAACAACGCCCTATCTCAGAAAACTTTTCAAGAATGCCCTACTTCAGAATTTGATTGAAACCACCCTATCTTAGCTGCCGATTCAAAAACGCCCTATCTCAGCTTATTTTCGATGTATTTTCGTTTGAGATAGGACGTTTTTGAACCAGATTATGAAATAGGGCGTTATTCAACCAAATTCTGAGATAGAGTATTTTACAATAAAATTCTGAAGTAGGGCGTTTTTGAAAAGTTTTCTGAGATAGCGCGTTTTCGAACTGGCTGCCGAGATAGGTCGATCTTCCACTCAGCCATCGATATATACACTCCGCTGTTCGCTGTCGCTCCTCTATTGGTAATAGTAAACCTCCAAGTGTATTCTGTCATGAAAACAGCTTCTCATAAAAATACAATTGCCGCTCGGAGTCTGCGTAAAACTGCCCTTCCTCTTTGTGTGACAAAATCAAGGTGCACGCCCCATATGGGAGGAGAAGCTAGGCCAAACACTAACATATTGTGTAAGCGCCAATCTGTATATCGTCGTTTAAAGTAAAAAATCGTGTATCGTGGTTCTGCAAAACCTCGTAACTGACATTTGTGCCAAAAAGAGATATTTGCGCACCGGAAGCTCCTATCATCAAGCCCTTAATCATTTATACTAAAATTTCGATACTTAGACATAAGAAGAGATAATTAAGTTTAAAAGAGGGAACCGTTTTGAATTATGACAAATTTTACTCTCTCCTATAAAATTTAGGCAACCTCACATACAAGGTTTTGCATTTTCTTGATGCGCGGTTTTGTACTTTAAATGACGATGTGTAAAAGTATTGCATACATATTTTGGTGCCTTTTCAATTATAAAATGCATTGAGAAACGAAAGAAAAACGGCATCCCTATGATTTCAACTTATGCCAAACGTTTTTAATATGAAAGACAAAAAACGTAAACAAGCAATTTCTGAACAAAAAACTGTTTATCCACAAAGATGTTTGAATGGAAGCATTACACATTTGAAAAAAATAGCAAACCGCAAGGCTTTATTGGCAGTAGGTCCTTTTTAAAGCACATTAAAAATAAAATAAGCTTCTAGTTTCGAAGTTAGCACAAAATGAAATTTTTTTGTTTGTTGTTTACAAAAAAAATACTTGCCAATTATATAAGTCAAAAATGTTAAATATATATGGCTTTCATTCAATTCTTTATAGAGTTGGTGCTTCTTTTATAGGAAAATTCATACGGCTTATGAACAGATTCATACCATGTAAATGCACCATTACTTTAGATGATAGAAGAGTCTAAGCTTAGAAGGTGTATATAAAAATGTTAAGAAATTTTCAAATCAGAACAGCTCACGTAAAACTTAACATTTTTATAACGCCTGTGAAAAAACCGCAACTCCTTTTTGGTGTACAGTTTTGATTTTTAAAAGTGATCAACAAAATCACTTGAAGAAGGGTCTGCATAAAAATATTTATTTAATAACAATAATCGTAATCCTAAGTAATCAAAATGTAATCGTAATCATAAAGTGCCCAGCTCTGGTTGAAATGTTATAGAAAATAATGTCAAACAGAAATGATTGCGGTTAGAGAAATTACTTTTTACACATAGTTTTCTGGAATAATTTCTTTATCTATAGTTTGGTTTCTGAAATTATGCACGCTTTTTACATGCGCTTTTGCCAAACCTTTAGCGCATGAAATTTTGTTTTATAAATACTTCATTCCACTCCAGCACAGTATAGTGATTGCATAAATACCTATACAGCCAAAAATAAAAAAGCTTTGCTCATTCATTCATGTAAAGATGAAAAAATTCTCGTCTAATGAATGTCTGAGTGTTGTACTTCTAATGCCAACCAAAAAAGTCCAAAAACTTTCGACACTTCACTTGAATAGACGAAATAACATAAAATGTTCAGATAAACAAACATGTGTTGTGCTAAAACAACATGCACCCACATATCTACGTACATAGATATGTATGTATGTATGTACAGTACTTTTTCCAGTTATTAACTTAAGTGCTACGTTATGCTTATGTATGTGTATGTATGCGCGCACAAGTGCAGTTTTCATCAACACTCATACATATTAATATACACATACATATATGAATGTATGTATGTATGCACATAGACTCGCATTCTCAGTTCAACTTACCGTTGTAAATCCATGTGATGTTCGGATTTGGCGCCCCAACTGCCCGGCACCAAATAGTCGCGTCCTTGCCATCCAATGCGGTCACATTTTGCGGTGGTTTCTCCATAACAGGCGCAGAGGCTACGAAAAAAATAAATAAATTTTATATAAAAAATTAAGTCAAAAGCCACGCTAATGAAAAAAAGTCATGAAAAAATATGCAGCTAGAACGACACAAAGTAACATGAGAGCACAAAGAGGGCGAAAAAACAATCGCGCAGTTTTTAGTAAAAAAAAAATACAAGCACGAAAAAATAGTGTATATGTAAGTACAGTTACAGTAGAAGAGTAGGAAAACGAGGCTTACACGTGCGCTAACGTTCGGCTGGTTTATGCTATCAAGTGGTTTATGTTGGTGCCACAGCTGGTCAGCTAGCCAGCAAGTCAGCCAACTAACAGACTAGTGTTGGGCCAATTATTCATTTACGAACTTTGACCGGCTTGATAGGCAAACAAAAAAGGGTGTAAGTGCAAATAAAACATGCTAGGTGCTCGTGTGCCTACTCGGTGCGTTGGAGAATTTTCTTCAACTACCGTCAGGCCATTCAAACAAAATGCGCGTTATTTGTTAGTGTAAATATGCAAAAGGTATATAGAGGTAGTAGGCAAATATGAGTAAAGGTACGAGCATGCCTTTATTTGAGGTTATGGTTATTATGTATGTATGTATGTGTGCCAATTCGAGTGCATATGAATATTTATATTTACAGTATTTCTCGGTTATAAGCAGACTATCAAATGTTACACCTGCACCACAAGCAGTTATTCTGTTGCTCTTACAGAAGAGGTTATCTTAATTGAGAATCGATATTTCCCCTTTCTGATACCAATTATATCTCAGACCATGATTAATCCCTGTGCTAATTTTAACTAAACTAGTAGCTTTATTTGTATAAATATAATTTATATGTAAATGCCAAAAAGTTGATTTACATAAATTTTGAAAATGTGGCAACTCTTTTTAAAATGCTTCTAAAATCATTTTGTGCAAAACTGTTAGATATCACTATGAAACAATTTAAACAACTAGTAAACGAAGTTTAATTTTGTGTTTAAAACACGTGGCAAGCCTATTCAAAAATATTTTCGATAAAAACGTTCTTTACCATTTATTTGTGACACCCGTATTGCAATGCTTCATTAAATCTCTCATTAAATTTAACTTAAGTTTTTAACCTGGTGGAAACTATTTTCATTAAACCCCTCATTTAATCAAATCATAATCATTTGATACCCATATTAACTGTAAATTAAATCGACTATGATTGATTTTTTAAAAGATGCCAACTCTGTTTATAAATATAAACAAAAAACTAATTAACACCTATAAACATATAAATAAATAAAACCTTTTAATTAACTTATTGACAAAATTGGTTTTAACCTATAGAACAGCTGGCAACTCACAAAAAAAATTATTTTAGAAATAAGGTTTACTTAAACCTCTTTCGTTTGACACCCATATCAATATATTTAATATAACTTTCCATAGAAATTCGTTTTAAATTACTACACAGATGGCAACTCTCTTTAAAATATTTTCCAAATAAAACCTTTCAAACCTATATATATATCGTTTGTTACTCACAGTAAAATATCTGATTCAACCTGTAAAATAATTCGATTATGATTTGCTCGACCCTATTCAAAAATAAAAATAAAGAAATAAAGCCTTGCGAAACCCTTTTAGATTAATACCTACACGTATTAGAAGGTTTCAATTAACTTACTGATTAAATTGATTTTATATTTTTGAGAAGTAGGCAACCCTCTTCAAAAATATTTTGTAAACAAAGCTTTCTTAGGCATCTATCATTTAATTTAACTAGTTAATTTAAATTACATATTTTGAATTTATTAGCAGGTGGCACACCTTAATAATTTGTTTCGAGAAAAGTTATATTTTTTAAGCTTCTTAATTAATTGATTTTAACATTTTGTAAAAGGTGGCAATCAGGATTTCATAAAACCACTCCCTGCTTATCAGTACCAAATCTCGTGCATTTCTGACGGTTCTCATAACCGAACAATACTGCATAAGCGTTGCTATTATATAATATTTAAAGTAATAAATGTTTGCATGGTAGCGTGATATGGTGATGAAGGTATTAAAAATGTTGGCGTGACTGTGGAAATTTTACGTGTGTTTATATATAAAAAAAAAAAGTAAATATAATATTTAAATAGATGTACATATAAAATTCATATAGCAAAGATTTCTACGTGCACACATAAAAAACATATTTATTAAAGTGCGGTATTAAGTATTTTTAATACAAAAAATAAATGTTGAAATACTCAAGCGAAGTGAGCAGTTGGCTGCTGTTGCCGATAGCACTATTTGCATATAAAATATATAACGCTTAATTGCAGGCAACATGCCAACGCTAATATATAGTAGAGCCGGTTTTTTTGTTTTAGTAAGTAACAAGGATTGTGTTTTTGAGCTTGCTTAAATAACACACAAGCAAAAAAGAGGTTCATTCGTTTACTAAAATATATAATTTTAAATGAAATAGCGGCTTGAAAAGAACAGTCAAGAGCCACAAATATTTTAGGATAACATAATGCTTTTAACGAAGATTGATGAGGTATAAAAAATGCCAGCTATTCAATAATAAAAATAATTATTCAACTTTAAGGGCAATTAAATTAAATGAATGTTAAGAGCGATGAGCCAGTTCAAGTGGTAAAAAACTCGTGACCAAGTCGTAGGCATTATAAAACGTTAGACTACTTAGATTAGGTTAAACATGCAGCTCTGATAAGAGTTCATTAGGGGCCGTATAGGCCCATTGCGATGTCCAAACGAGGGTTTTCCCATACTTTCCCAAAAATCATATTTCCTCGCGAGTTCAAGCGGACCGTCTAATGGAAGCATATTCAAACAGCCTAAACTGCTGAACTAACGTATGGGCCCCAGAAACAGTCATCATTCCAGCCCTACTGGGAATGAGAACCATAGTTCTGGACGGCATCAAACTTAAAAAAGAAACTAGGGAATAAGGCGAGCTGGAATGGTATTAGTATTAAGAAATCCTCCCAGTGTCATTCGCTAGTTTACCACACAGACAGCTCAAAAACACAAAAAGGCACTAAAACCAGCATCTTTGGACCCGGAGAAAAGATGTCAGTTGTTATGGGTAAACTCCCAAGCAACTTACCAGTGGAGGCCCTCGCTATAAGTTTGTGGGCAGCGCGCAGTCTACAGCGAAATCTTTGCAATGATAGATCAGCATTTTAAGTTGCGGAAAGGCTGCACGCAGGGCTCCTTTTTCCTAAGTCATTGTTTTTCGAGTGCGTAGAGGGATACATTTTTAAAACTTTCTATTATTATTTTTTTTTTAACCTTCAACATCTGTTGACACCAACTGTGCTACTATTATATAAAGGCTTCATTAATAACGGAGATTATGAATTATTTCTGTCTAGACTTAAAAAATTCATGTTTTTATTTTAATCAGAAGAATTTTTAAGGAGGCCTTAGCCATTACAAAAAAAGGTTAAAATTAATTAGCAGGCCGAATAAGTGGCATTGAAATAAGCTTAACAAATTAATAAGCACCTGGCATAAAATACAATGAAATCATACCTATACATGTACAAATGTATTACAAATTCTTTTCGACAGCATGGCTGCTAAGTGGAAAAATTACGATTTGGCTCTGAAAAGTCTTAAAGCAAAAACAAATTTAAAAATATTATGCTTTTGGTATACATACACCGTAGGGTGGCTCGATATACGATCCAAAAATCTCTATAAGGCATATTTGAAGCACAAAAAATGGTTGACGGTGACTTCGATGGCCGAAGGTATTAAGGTGTTATAATCAGTTGCGGGCTAAGAAGTACCTGCTCTGAGCCCCCTCTAGCCAAATGGTCAGATGTTGCATTGCCAAACACTCTCAACTGAGAACTGGAACTCAGAGTACACTACTGGAACGTAAACTCCTGGATCTCCATCTATTTACCACCATGAAGTCCATGGCTTTGAGGATAACATATTCCTTGGTTTAAAATAACAAGACAGATTCTGAGAATGTATGAGTTTTGGTTCTATCAGTAAAGATTCTAAAGTCATCACCAAGCCTCAGTAAACTCAATATTGTAGTATATCTTCAGCAAAGGCGTAATTCTATTTTCATCTCACTCAACTATGAGAATAAAAGTTTTGAGATGAAATTAAAAAAAAGTACGGTATTCCAAAAAAAAAAACAATTTTCTAAATATTTCAAATGTTATTCAAAATGTTTTTTATTCCGTTATTTAAAAGTACGTAATTTTAGCGTCCGAAACAGAAAATAAAAACCTGCTACTTTTGTGCACTTTCTGAAATATAAATAAATATTTAAAAATAACCTCATTGAATCTCTTTCGTCTGACATCCATATTGTGCTACATATTTTAATTACCTAATCAAAGTTGAATTTGACTTTATAAATAGGTGGCAACCATCCTATATGTACTTTAGAAATAAAGCCTTTGGAAAACCATTTTTATTGATACTTAAATTGTAATAACTAATTTAAATTATTTAAAAACTTGAATGTAATGTTTTAATTTAAAAAGTAAAATCTTATTGCACATCTACAGGCCAAGCACTTTAACTTGACATCTTCTTTTTAAAAATCTAACAAGCTCGGTGTACTCTAAAGGCTACAAGAATACAAATTTTCAACTTAGAATTGTATTTATAGTGAACGTATGAAAGCTATAAAAAATTCAGTGTCCTCAAATTCACTACAAAACAAATTTTCATTGAAATCCGTCCATAATTATATTTTTGCTCACATTTCATATGGAAACTAGCAAATACTCGGCGTGCTACACTGCACCTTAAGAATATTTTTGAGTTGTTTGATAGCCCTTTTGTAATATTTCATTTATTTTATCTATTTAATTAAATAAAATTTTTCTAAACAGGTGGCAACCCTTCTCAAAAATATTTTCTGCAGAAAACTTTCCTAAACCTATTCAGTTTGATACCCATATTGCAATATTAAATTTATTTATCAATTACATAAAATTCAAATTTTCAAATATGTGGCAACCTCCCCAAAAATATTTTCGGCTTCTTAAACCTC